TTTAATAAGAATTGTAAATTGTGACTAGCCCGCTGTCGAAGCGCGAACCCGCGATCAACTGCAGTGTTCCGTGGTTTTATCTATTCAGCCGTTGGTGAGTTAATGTATCATTCCGTATCAACTTTAAAGTGCACTTGGAAATGGAAAAAAGGTTGCAATTTGGGACGTAAAGAAATCCTAAACTCAAACTGTGAAATTCCTCTTATTGTTCTCTATTGACAATTCAGCATCTTTACTTTCCTGTCTATTATGTTACAAAACAAGGGAATCGTGTGGAATTTGGTCCTCCGAGTTTTTTGGAAATCGCTACGTTTTGAGACCTCCTGAGCCCAAAAAAGTAAAAAAACCGGCAAAATATTTCTACAGATATGTATGTGTGTATTTCATTTAATATCTCAGGATGGGGTAAAGATCAAGAAATGAAATTTGGCAAGGTTATCTTGTGTATCAGGGACATTGATGCGACTAAATTTCGGTGGTTAAAAGTCGGGAGTGTAGGGATATAAAGAGGTGTCATGCGTCATATCTTGGAAGTCGGACTTAATGAAGATTGTATTCGTTATTAGCATTTAATTTTTTATGAAGCTCATCAGTACCCTAAAAATTAAGCCTTTTTCCATTTTATAATAATTAAACATATAAAATTTTTTATTTAAAAACTCATAACAGGTAGCGCCACCCAGAATTTAATTTATTACAGTTAAAAATACTCCAAGAATCCTCGTTAATTCGAACTCGGATAGTTCGAAATCCCCGTTAGTTCGTAACTGTCCCGGCCGGTATGGAGATTTACACATTAAGGAATTCAGTTGGTTCGAATTTCAGTGAAAATTCTGTCCGAACCGCTATATGCGTATATTAACGTTCGTTTAGATCGAAGTGCTCCATGCTATAAGAGAACAATAGACCAAGAACAACTCTAATCTGGTCAATGTTGCTCGCTTTTACAGTAACACATTTTTGGATGTCATCTTACCCAGGAAATACCATTTTTTCCCCTCTTATCTCATAAAATACAGCTGGATTTCGGGACTGCAAGATTGGGCTACGCGTAGCAGATTAAGATATTTGTACAGAAACATGTAAATCTCGGATAATTCGAAATCGCGATTACTGTATTTTGTCCCTTGAATTTCGAACTAACGAGAATTTATTATAGTCTCTTTAAAAAAATCTTATAACAGCCGGGAAAGTTACACAACTCATTGCTGGATTTTTTTATATACTCATAGTGAAGCTATTGAATGTACTCAATTACGTATCGTAGATAGCCAGATAGCCATTAAACGGGGGTAACGGTGGGAAAATTTGCATTTAAAATATAAAATATATAATTAAGTAATATAAAAGCATTGTTCTAAATATGGCGACGCACAATCCGAATCAATCCATATTATTCGAATTAGTGTGATAAAAATAGTAATTAGTAAGTAAAAAGATATAATTAATCTCAAGACTTAAATATATTTTAATATATTATCCATCATTAATCTAGAATATTACAATACCTCTGAAATTATCGTTCTCTCTTACGATTAGTACTGCCGCCTGCTTCTGGTGGAACTACCCTGACGGCGCCTTCGTTTTATGGTCCAATGACAGGAAGGTTGAGAAAAGCGAAATCCGATTCGAGTGTAATATATACTGTACACCCGTGTATCTAGCACCAATCTGCTTTATTTCTTTAGCTTCTGTTGTCCTATCCTAAACCCTCCAAATAAGGCAGTGGCGTACCGTGGGTGTCAGCCGCCCGGGGCAGAGAAAAATTTCGGCCCCCGGCCGGCCGTCGATTCGTCTTTTGTTTGAGCGCCACGCAACTCTTGATTACTCACTCTGCCACACTATTGTTCAGCTTACATGTTCGGACGTGTCGCGCGGAATCGACACATAGCTACAATTTAGTTTGTGTTATTTATTTCTGTGTTTGTTATATCTACGGAGACTCGAGAGACTCTATGTGGTGATTTCTTGTAACCGTGAACGAATTAAAAGACGAGATAAGATTAACGAGAACATTTATTAGCTTACATACATACGACTTGGATTTTACACAAATTACTAAATTATACCCTGACTTACGCGGTTATCGCTCGGTCCACCTATCGCGTAAGTTCGGGGTATTACCGTGTTTCAATTTAAAAGATCAAAATTCAGTTTTGTCACAGAACAAGCAATGAAAAATTCGGTGGTATTGCAGCGACCTCTTTAAAATAGTTCTATTGGATATTAGTGGTGCATATGAACGCGAATGAATCGTACAAGCAAGAAAAAAAAAGGTCAACAGGTTTCGCAGGATTTCCTTGGGTAAAAAATTACTAGTTCACCCGGACGGCGAGCCGATTCCCGGACTGTCCGGACGATAGCACTATCGTAGGCGCAATGCAAGTATAGATTAGGATGTTTCAAATTTTTACAAGATATTATTATTATTTATTGTGAAATTTTGCCGCTCCCTAAATGATAATTTTGCCGCCCCCTAAAAAGGGTACAAATGCAGATCACGTGTGGAGGGGGAACCCCCAATCGGTAGACCCCCCTTTGCGATCAAAAAATGTCTAATGAACGTGAAGGGTCGCCCCTACGGGCGACCCTTCACGAGATATAGCCCCCCCAAAATCGCGCCGCGCGTCGTTCTGACTGCTCAGTGACAAAATCGGGCTGCGCGTGATTGCGCCTCGCTCCGCGCCGCGTCGCGCCATTGCGAGATCGCTCGCGTCGCTCAGCGAAGACTCGCTTTTAACTATGGGTGCGTTTACTTCTGAGTTAGCAGTGCTAATTCTGATAACAGGATGTGACGTCATTAGCACGTGTATTCGTGCTTGCTTGTCCAATTCGAAAGTGAACACATACGCTAACAAGAAATATGGCGGTTTCCAGCCATATTTCTTGTTAGCGTATGTGTTCACTTTCGAATTGGACAAGCAAGCACGAATACACGTGCTAATGACGTCACATCCTGTTATCAGAATTAGCACTGCTAACTCAGAAGTAAACGCACCCTATGTATCACACGCGACTATACGCACGTCATTTCCGGTCACGTGACTCCGCTTCCATACCTAGGGTGTCTCGCACGGTGTAATAATTTAATAAAAAGTAATAATTAATTTGTATATTTCCACTTCAGAATAAAATGTCTTGATTACATTTATAACCAAAAAAATTATTACTTTCAGATGCCAGGAGCCGCACGTCCTGTTGCAACTTGTAATAACAGTACATATTGTCATCTGTGCTAGTAATGAAAACTTCACTACTGACAGTAAATTAAAGAAAGAATTGTTTATTAAAAAGAAATCGAACAAAACTGTTAAGAAAACTTTACATGTGATAAATAAACAGAATAAACCAAAAGAATGTGTTAAACATAACGTAACTTAACACGTAATCCTAAAACATTACAAGATCTTAATTTTAAATTAATACATGGAAAAAAATGGTTTGACGATAAGAATTAAATTAATTTACTTATATATAAATCACCTACATAGAAGTTCCTAAAATTAATCTTTAAAAAATTATTGTTGTTATAATATCATAAAATAGATAAAATCGATTTTATTTACATGTAAAGTTTAAATTTAAACTTTACACGTAGAAATTATGAAGGTTTGCTCAATATTCCGTTTTTTTTTTCGTATTTATTTCTCAATCTATCACAAAGAACCAGACGAAAAGGAAGATTAATTTTATTGCTGAGCGCTCATCGCCACGTGATTTTGTTTGGGAGAACTAATCGTGCATTTATTAAATTGATACTTTATATTGATCGAAAATTACTGGCGGAATATGAACGTAAATACATATACATAGGTAAATGCGAACTATCTACCAATTTTCTCTCTCGCACCAAAGCAAGTCATTTGTACGCAGATTAAGAGACTCATTCATAATTTTTTCGTATTTCGTTTGTATTCGTTTGTATATACTCCTATCGATATTTGGTAAGCTTTTTTGCAACACGAAGGATTGATTTTAGATAAACAAATATGTGTGCAATGCAAGAACGAATGAAACTTAGTGGAAAATAGACAAAAATATTATTTTCCGTGTACAATTTGCATTAAATTTTATGCTTACCCTACCTAACATATACTATCGGACGGTCGAATGGCCGAGCGGTCAAGGAGTGTATTTTTTTATATTTCTCCGCGCGAGCGGCACCCGTTTAAATTAAAAATTCCTGCCGAACGCGTTCCTAAATTCCAGTCGGAGTGCGCACTGTCCGACGGCAAAAACGGCCGCTTGTAGCAGTAGTTTACGGTGGAAAGCAACATGGCGTCCTCCATAGCTCAAACAGTTTCGTTTTGGGGTCCATTATGTGGTTTTATGAATGAAAATTTAGAAGTTATATAAGCGCAAATTAGTACAAGCGGTGATGTATCTTCTCGAATTTTTTCGAATGGTACCCGGCATTTTAATTTTTTCGTGGCTACTTTGAATGCTCTGTCGGCAAAATAATCCATTTCATGGTTAAATTTACAATCGAAACTCTTCTTTGGTCTTTAAAAATGCATATTTTAAAATCATAGATCCTTCTGTTACGATAGTACGGGCGCCGACATCTTTCTTTCTTTCACCTTCATTCCTAATTGCCAAACAGCAGCGCACTCCTGTAGTAGTGAAGACGCGAGCTACCGCTATTAATTAACGAACGAACCCAAGATGGCAGCCTCTGCTCTGGAGGACCCGGAATTGAATCCAGAATCGAGTCGAAAAATCTTCATGAATTTTTCGGGAGGTGGTCCATTTGGATATGTCAGGCTCCATCCCTCACCAACCCGGTCTCTTCATTGTGGGCCTGGCCAAACCAATAATGGGCTTAGCCCATTATTGGTTTGGCTTAGCCCATTATTGCTTATGCTTGTTTATGCTTAGCCCATTATTGACCCACAAATGACTCTGACAAGAGAGAAAATTGATACAGATACACGGAATATTCATATGTATAACACTAAAACGAAAAATATATAAAAAGTTTGGTTATTTTAGCCTACTATTGCCACGTTAATCGCGATACTCGAAAGGTACAAAATTGCACAATCGGATTTGTCAAGTAGAATTGGAAGTATCTCTTAAAAAATTTAAGATATCATATTCTTTTCTAATGTTACCTCTAAGAATTTCATTAGTAAAATTGCATAGTTGCAAAATAATTCATTTTTATGCTTGGGCTCAAATCGGCAACTTTTGCACTTTCAGATCTGGCAACATTATTCATGCTGTTCGTTACTTTCTTTGAAAATGCCGTTCGCAATGGAACCCGTTTCAGAGAGCTCCGATGTCATTCCATCAGAAATTTTTGAAAAGTTAACGAGTTTTTTATTTTATAAATATTTTCCCTCTGAAGATGCAGCTCAGAAATTTTCCACATCCAGATTTAACCAATTTCATTCCGCCTTGTCCTCGTTGCGGAGGTAAGTTTTACTTTATTTCTGCCTGTGCCAGGAGTGCCTTACGCGGATATCTGTATGTTAACTAATTCAATTTGTCGTATTTTTCAGGCGCGATGGAGAAGAAAGCGGATTCGTCAGAGAAGTTCGGGTATATCTACCGCTGTGAGAAAATAAATCAAAGAGAAAAAAAGAGAAGACGAACTGGAGGCTTTATCTGGAGAGCCAAGTGCACCGGCGCGATCTCTTGTGCCCAAAATACATTTTTTGAAGGAGCTAAGCTCTCAGTTCAAAAGATATAATATCGTGGCATTTGGCATTATATTTTCGGTAGCCATATTTTTTCTTTTCTTTGTTCTCGTCTTTCTGGAATTTTCCTGTTTAATCCTACCCTTGGGAGTTGATTATTCACATCTAAGACAATAGAAACTAAGTAGCCCTAAGGGGTTAACAGGGTAAGGGAAGGACACCCACAGAATCGGCGGTTTCACGTTACGTTACGTGTTTCTGTAATTCGATCGTATCGCTTAAGATGATGTATGTTTTATGAGATAATTTTTTTTTATTTTTGTATTTAACAGGTGCTGATGATTATTTACTCGTGGGTCAAGGAGGAGCCGGTCACCATCGCTGCGAATGAATGCGGCGTGGCCATGCATACAGCGGTGGACTGGTACAACTTCTGCCGGGAAATTGCGGAGGTTATCGTCTCTAACGAGCAAAAACAGATTGGCGGTAAAAATCTACGCGTCGAGGTGACGATCGATCCAAGTTTCTAACTTCGTCGATATATCTATGTCTATGCCCTCTATATCTATATACATGTGTTTTTATTTTCAGATTGATGAAACTTTTACCAGGAGACGAAAGTACAACCGTGGGCGCATAACCAAAGGCACACAACTAACTATATTTGATGCCTATTGTCGGGAAACACGAGAGATTACTGGCATGTAAGTAGTAACGAAACATTATTTCCTATTATTATTTACTTTTAGTGGAAGTTTTGTGTTATATTTTCTCGTATTCTTTCAGGTGGAGAACAAAAGCAGGCGCCTATGAAGCCACATATCCAGATACATCGCTCCAGGTTCCATAATCGTTTCCGACAGCGCTCCGCAATATCGCAGTTGTACGACGATGGGCTTCTCGGAATACAAGACCGTTAATCACAGCCAGCAGGGCCCCGGGAGGTAAATACGATGAAACGAAACTGCTATGTGTTAAGTGAAAGAAATAAACGTGTGTTTTTGAAAATAATATGAAAAGTGACACTTTTCTTTTTTCTCTGTGCAGATTCGTCAACAGCGATGATCCCCAGGCTCATACTCAAAACATCGAGTGTAGACATCGCTGGCTGAAGAAGTCCATCAAGTCGCTTCGCACGGACAGGAGCCTGCAGAGCTACACATGCACTTATGTATACAGGACGCGGTTCCTGTCCCAGTTGCCAACAATATCGGCAAAATTCCGGCAGTTCGTCGAACATATTATGGCCGTCTACCCGGGCCCCGGTCGTGAGGGTCTCCAACTGAAGACGATCGGTGTACCCGTGGACGAAGATCAGCCGCCAGACGAGCCCTATTTTGATGTGTACCTGCCGACGAAGAGGAACCGCAAGAAAATGACGAACCCCCCCCCCAGTGAATAGTGCAGCTTTTGTATAGTGGGCGTGACCAAAGGATAGTTCCTTGCAGATGTGAAACCTGGATTATGTGATTTTTCAGACTTCGGATACCTCGGACGCAACAGCACCTTTGTCGTCGACCCGAAGGACCAAGCGGAGGCAGGGGCCAGCGGCCTCAGCTAACCAGCAAAGCCTAGATGTCGCCAAATAGCGAGAAGGGAGGACAGCGCCTCCTCTTGCGGGAAACGCAGAAAAGGCGCTGTGAAGGTGAGTGTCTGTTTTTTCCTTTTTACATCGGTAGTTAAGCTTAGTTCACACTATGCTCGATTCGCTGGCGAAGGCGAAAATCATAGCGAATAACACTTCAGACATAACGTCGTTTCCAGCGAATTTCGAGAATCGCTTCGAAGTTCGGAACTGATCCCCGAAAGGAGAAATGATGATTTTTCCTAATGAAAAAAAAAATGTCGAGCTGGTTAACGACGAATTATCGGAAGCGGCCATTTTGTTTTTCGAGATGACGTTTTCACTCGCTTGCAAATGATCGTCTGCTTAAAATTCGCAATCGCTTTTCGTTTTTGGTTGTATGGGCCAATTTCGCTAAGTGAATAAAAATCGCTTTTCGCATTGGCTTTCGATATTCGCTCAGTGTGAACTAAGCTTTAAGCGGGAAATGATTAGAGAGTTTAGAAGCGGTTGCGGTTCCTATCGCTCGCGAGAGTTTTAACAGAGCGACGTGATGGGACGTAATACTTCTGCTTTGGCGGATGTAACGAATTCATAAAAATTCGAATTGTCGGGGCTAACTAACTTAAAAAATTTTTTCGTTTATTTATATAATATGTCGTATAACGTTACACGTTAAATTACTTAGCCTTTCTAACGGAAAAAAAAATAAAATTACGTATTATTTCGGTTAAAGTTAGGCAGCCTAAAGTTATTTATTAATAATAATCGACGTTATTGAAATATTAATACTGTATAGCCATAAAAATGATTTTCGAAAACAACGAATAAATTATTGCTAAGTAATCTTTATAACTGAAACTGAAAATCGTATCAATATTTTATTTTATAATATAATTATTAATGATCGAAGACTTAGAAATCGTTTAATTATATTAGCTTTGCGTGTTAACGATGACTCGGTGCGATTTTACGTTGAGCGGGAGCGACGAATGCCGTTTCTTTATCCTTTACTCGGACAGAGTCGATTAAGCCTAAGTGGTATTAAAGGTGGTCGCTCTCGCTCGTTTACCTCGCTTTCGTTTCGAAGAATAATTGGTAAGGAGGGGGCGGGAACCCCCAAATTATAGACTGGGTAAAACTCGATTCGGGGAGAGGGTTTTCATCCCCCAACCGGTAGACTCCCTTTGCGATAAAAAAATGTCTAATGAACCACACGCTACGGAAGCGGAGGCACGTGACCGGAAATGAAGTACGTATAGTCGCGGGCGTACCTAGTCCTGTATGCTACGCGAGTTGGCGACGCGCGATTTTGGGGGGCTATATCTCGTGAAGGGTCGCCCGTAGGGGGATGGTTCATTAGACATTTTTTGATCGCAAAGGGGGGTCTACCGGTTGGGGTTTCCCCCCTCCAAACGTGACCTGCATTTGTACCCTAAAAAGTGGCGCCCGGAGCAGCACTTTTTAGGGTACAAATGCAGGTCACGTGTGCTCCCTCCCGCCCCCACTACGGTACGCCACTTAAATAAGGAAAAATAGAACGGTTTTAGGCTAAAGCCTGGTACCCACATGCAGTAACGGACGACGGAAACAGTCGTCGGAACGGCAAAATGACGTCACTTTTGCCGTCGACGTCCACGGAATACGAAGTTGAAAATTTTCAACTTTTGCCGCGACGGAAAGCGGCACAATAAAAATTAGACCAATAGGAAGACCGTTTAGCAATGTCGTCATAACGATCACGTGGAACGACAGCATTTGAACTATGGCGGTTGGCAAGCTAAAAAGCTTTATTTGTACACTAATACGCTAATATATTTCATTTATACTCTACATTACTATCCGATTTAAATATTAATGTCAAATAGACTTACTTACTGCGTAAAATATTGGGAATGGAGTAAGCGTAATTCGGCGAGAAAGTATTCGATATTCCTAACTTTCGACGATTTAGAATATTTTTACTATTGAAATTATTCATTTCTGAGGTTTTTTTATTTGCGATAAGATCGAAGACAAACTTAAAAAGTTTAATTGATATAACAAAGCAATCCCGGAAGACGCCATTTTCGACTACTGGCACGTGGTCTACCTACTGTAGTTACTTGTTTATATTTACGGCTGGCAGATGGCGCGTTTCAATTGTAGGGTAATTTCCGCATGTGAGTACACGCCACACGGAAAGACGACGGAACGGCAACTTTTCCGTCGACGATTTCCGTCGTTCGTTGCCGCATGTGAGTACCAAGCTTAGAGCCGCCGCAAACTAGCGCTTTGCGAGAGCAAAACGCTAGCAAACATGCGCTAGCACAACCGATGACGTCGAAGGCTCCGCCCCTTTCTTCTTGCTCGCGCTGTTTTTCCTTCGCTAGCGCAGCGATACGAGAGTACGCTCGCTGTTCACAGAATTCAACAACTAGAGCATTTACGCTAGCAAGAGAGAGCGGGGAAGACGGATGACTACATAAACATGTCACATATCGAAAAAGAAATAATAGAATTTTATCGATGTACGTAAATTACATGATTAATACATTCAGTATTGAAAAGAAAATAGTATAACCGTTGTATGTAAATAGTAATATACAGTATAAATAGTTTTCGGCTAGTTAAGCCTAGTTAGGCTTAACTAGTAAACATGTTTTTTCCATGCTGTTTCAAAGTTCGGAACGAAAACTGACTGATTACAAGTATAGGTTATAATAAAATCTTGTTCTATAGCCAATCTACATCTGTGGAATCCACGTCATGTGGACTACCTTACGCGAGCAAACGTTGTGTAGTTTGCGGCTGCTTCGTGCTCGCGTAGCTTACCTAGCAAAAATGGCTCATAGCATCATGGGAAAAAAGGCGAGGCTTAGGAGCGCGAGCGAGCGTACGCTAGCTCTCGCATCCTGTAGTTTGCGGCGGCTCTTAAAACTTTTTCCGGCAAAACTTGTGGCGCGATGGGTAAAAGCATCAGATCATAGAACAGTTTTACCCTAGATTTACCCTAAATGTAAGACTATCCTAAACATTACCTTGAGAGATTGAAATTACCTTAGAAACGGCAGCATGCTTATGATACAAACTTTATTAAAAGAGATCCGAATGCCCTCTACGTTTTAGAGTTCATAATAATAATTGTTATTATTATTATTATCATTTTTATTATCATAAAATTTAATGATTTTAAAATGAATTATTATTTTATAAATTAGGAAATTATCATGTTTTATAACTTTCGATATTAAAAAAAAAAAGATATATACAATAAAAATAAATGAGATTTAAAACAGACGACATTTTTCATCGACGAAGCAAAAGCGCCACCATACAGAAAATTCAATTTTTCTAATGAAATACCGTAATTCAGAATTTCGACTTTAAAAAGTAAGATAAATTTATTTTGCGTTTATATATAACGAAAAAGAACATATTTTTTACGTAAATTTTGTAAATATTTCCATTACTTTTAAAGTTTATATAGGTTATAAAATTAATAACATTAAAATGGCAAAAATTTCATTGCTTAAACATTCGAATATAAAAATTTATAATTTAAGTTTCTATTCGATTAAACTAAATTAACCAAAATTTGGTTTATTTTAAAATATTAAACGTAAAACTTAATATACTGTAATTTTCTTCTCATCTTATTACAATATTGTACTTAAGTATTGTATTACTGTTCTGTTTGTAGCTTCAAAAAGGATATTAAATCCTTCAAACAGAGTAATATTCAAAATAAGAAAGCGTTCTAACAGAAAATATAATTGGTCCTTTCGTTTAATTCAGTGTTTCTCAACGGGGGCGATTAGTAACAATTTATATTTAGGGGGCAAAAAACAATTTTCTGGGCGATATAGTAAAACATTATATTAAGAATAATTAGATATTTTATTCGTTATATCGTACAATAATTAAACAAATAACATTATACTAGTCACTAGTCTATTCGATGCGGTACGAATTTGGCGTTAGCCTTGGCCCTGGGCATAGGAATTTTGATGTGAAGGGGGCGATCTACGTAACGGTTTTATTGAAGGGGGCGACGATTCGTTAGAGTCTGAGAAACACTGGAGTCGTATTCTGGTCACCGTCTCTCACAAGCAGGTCGCTGATTGGCTAATCCAAATGATTAGCCAATCAGCGACCTGCTTGTGAGAGACGAGAGACCAGAGAAGGTGACCAGAATATGGCCCCTGGTTTAATTGATAGAATGCACACTATACGTACGCCATCTAGTAGACAAGCCGCGGAACGGATCGGTGACGTCACTGTAAAAGGTGTATGATTATTATGCGCCTTTTATGTGACGTCACAGTTTGAGATAGTTAATCTCAATTGAGGGTTGAATGTGTGAGATGAATTTTGATAGTATTTCTATGTCAACGCGAAAAAGGTCGTATGATATACGAAAATCTATTATTATTTAAATAAAATAACAAGAGTCTTATCTATATAAATAAAAATGTAAATATTCTTTTGTTCAAAATCTTAAATCTCCGAAAGTTCTTAACCAATTGCTTTGAAATTTTGACACAACGTTGAATTCGAATACGCGCGTGTTTTTATATTATATAGATGTCGAAATCCCCCCGCGGGGAGAGAGACAAAATTAAGGCTTACCGTGAAGGTCTTCCATTATTCTATTGATATTTTAGATGCGGTTTTTTTGCGTTTTGATTGCGTTTTTATAGGGTACGTCGAGAGAATGTACACTCAGAAGGAATTTTTCGAATTTTCCCCCCACGGGGGAAGTGTTATATATTTATAATAGATACATTTTGAGCCATAACAACGCATGGCCGGGTACAGCTAGTTAAGTACATAAAATAACAATGATACTTATTGTCTAAATTTATGTTAATAAACAAAAATTTTATTAAACAAATTACTTGTGAATTATATTTACAAAATGCATGTAGATATTGGTGTTTTCTAGTAAAATTTAGCCAGTGACACCCAAAAGATAAGGGAAAAAAGAGGAAAATTTTTCGTTCTCTTTTAGGAGACGATTTCTATATTTTTCCCTCTTCTTTAGGAAAAAAAATCATAAATAATAATAATAATAATATCATTTTACAAAGATATCAAATTATAAACAGTAAAACAATAACATTAAATTACAGCATTAGTCTTATAACGTGCTCTTTCTTGCCCTTTTTATTGGCGCTACTGTCACCAATAAAAAGGGCGACATTCGTGCCAATTCATAAAAATCGACGAGGGGACATAGGTGTAGTATTCCTTATAAACTCTGGAATAGTCAGGGATGTTGTGGTCGATTGAACCTATTATTCTACCAGAAGTTTACATACAGTACCTAGTCGTTCACTCTACAATCTTCATGAGCCTTGACATTTCGAAGATTAGTTTTAAACGAAGAAAAGGAATGGAATTACGCTTGCCCGTGAATTTCGGTACAAACGTTCGAAAACAGAAAACGAAACTAAATTCCAATTCGGCTGCTTCCTTTCAGCGCGAATTACTGCCCACGCCAATGTGTCTCTAGATTTTTTTCTTTTTCTTCTTTTCTCTTCACCGAATGTTATATGTCATTTTAAATTACATTAATTTAATATGTATAAATTTTGAATATTTTAGATATGTACAATTAATAAATTATTTGCATTAAATTATTTTTTTTCAAATTTATATCCCGGAAACTTCTATATCGCTTGCCAATATTTAAATTTCTCAACCGAAGATAAATTTTGTAAAATTTATAAATGAGAAATGACACTTTTTGCAAATGTTTCGCATTAAATTTTAACAAATGTGTTTATTATAATGTGAAATCAAAGTAAACAAAGTGAAACCCATCAGGAATTACTTGTTTATATCTTCTCAGTCCTATGCACTTCAGAGGACGTAGTGATATTACGAAATTGACGGATTTAATTGTATCTTTCCACTTTTCCCGATGTTGTGCCATGTCTTCATACATTATGGATGGCTTCATACATTATGGATGGCTTCATACATTAACTTTTTTTTTAATTCTTTCCACCCTGTGAGCACTAAGAGGGCCTCTTTTTGCAAGCCCATTATGGGTTCGGACAGGCCCACAATGGGCTGCCGGGTGGTGAGGGACAGGGCCAGACATATCTGAACGGACCACCCTCCAAAAAATTCCTGGGGATTTTTCGACGCGTTCGGATTCGAGCCCGGGTTCCCCAGAGCGGTAGGTTGCCACCGTGACCATCCGGCCTCTGGCTTCATACATTATATGTCCTATAGTCGTCATTACTTGGTCTGCCCACCTAATCCGACATCTGCCTCTGGGCCGTTTGCCATTAATCTTCCCTACTAGGCTCCGTTTCTCAAATCCATTTTTGCGTCTAGAAATATGTCCCAAGAAGCGAAGGTAGGATTGGTATATTTTAGTGGTAAGGCATGTTGTGAGTTTCAGTTGACTTAGGATGGAGCAATTTGTTCGGTGCTCCGTTCAAGAGATTTTCAGTATTTTCCTGTATGTCCATATTTCAAAGAAATCAAATTTGTTTCGAAAAATGGCATTTATGGTCCAGGTTTCCGATACCTAGAAAACCTGGACAATCAAGTGGCAATTGGTAAAAGCGTTCTTATGAGCTTTAGTTTATTAAAAATAGTGATTGCAGAATCTTTCCAAATTCTAAATAATTTAGAGGTTGCATTGCGAGCGAGGCAAATTCTGCATTTAATTTCATTATCACATCCTCCCTTATTTATAAGAAGTGATCCAGGGTAAATAAATTCATTTACCACCTTACAGCCTGCAATTTCCTTAGTCTGTGTCAAGGATCCCTCGATGTGGATTCCTGTCCGTGGTGAGGGGACCTCTCAGAGATGGTTTAGTAACTCCTATTTACCATACCTGGGATCTAAACGCCCACCCACGTGTTTGCCATGCGTGATGCCCCGTATGCCGGAAAGGGGGATCCTGGTAGTTGAGGGGCAACATAACGTCCCCAACACACTGCTTTGGTCCCTGCTTCGGAGAAACGGGAGGCTCAAATCAGGCTGCATTTGAGTCAATCGGCTGAGTCATTCTTGACCTCGGCTTGGAGTCAATCGATCGATACAGACCGGGCAGACACGTCCCTGCTTGAGTTTTGTCACATCAGACAAGGTGTGCTCTTCTCGACTGTATTGTGAGGGTAATAGCTCCTGGGAAACCCTGGTGTGATGGTCTATGGGAGATTTCCATGTGATAGCATCCACTTGTTGGGCCCCATGGTGGGTGGGGTCACTAGGAGCTGAAAATTTATTT